CGTATATATAGTAACTTAAACTGATACTACATACTGACAATCCGTTTAGAACTATTCACACTTCGAGACTGACCGAGGAATAGATGAATATTAACATAAGTGATTTATTATAACGCACTTTTTATGCGAATAGTCAACGGTTTATTTGCCAATCAGGACCAACATTCTATTATAATCGGGTGCAGGCTACTCGTCTTCTCTACGAATCTTAAGAACCTCATTCTAATCAATTAGCTGTTTTCGTTATAATTGGCAGTTAATGATTTCATACAAAAAGTTTATACAATAAAATGAGTTGGGATGTTGGAATAGTTTACAATAATAGGCAGATAAAATAATTTATCCCCAAAACCAATGTTGAGATGGATACCGGTGACATAATATGACAGTGAAGCTACATAAAATCCTAACTATAGGTCCTTTGGCTAGGATTTTCGTTTAGAAATAACTTCCTAATCCTAACATCGATGCTCTTAATCTACTGTGAACAATATTCTCTTCTTGTACTGCACAATGAGAAATCCTATTCATAGTACGTTCAATTGCGTGAAGAGAGCAGCACTCACCATACTACACTTGGCGCTCCTGTCGGGGACTGTAGGAACTACCATGACACAACATAGGTATTATCTTATTATAAAGTTTTTGATTAAATTATTTTATTAGCCTTTAGTGAATTTTAACCCTACAAACTTGACGAAATCGTTTCATTGCGTTTAGAAATTGACAATTTTGATTTTATGATGAATCAAAAATATTAGTGAAAAAAGTTTAAGTAGCCCACGATTGCGCCGCTACCTCGACTGGGAGTCGTGGCGTACTCCTGTAATCCAGCTACTTGGAGGTCGGGTGATGAGGATGGTTTGAGGTTGGGGCTGTGGACTAGTCATCTCAATGTTTGATTTGGCGTCCGCATACTGGTCGTCATCAACTTGGGATTAGACGTCCGCCTACTATATTAAGCTCACCATCAACATGGGTACTCGGGAGGAGTCCTGGGTGTCCAGGTTGGCTAAGGAGGGGCGGTGGACTAGGGGGAAACTCCAGTAGCCAAATGTCCCCGTGGTGAGCAGTAGTAGGGGATAGCGTCCCCGCATACTGGGTTACTACTAGACTATGTCTCAGTCTCGCTAATATAATCAAACCATCACCCTATTTTTTTCCTTTTTTAACAAGGTAATTCTTATCTAAACGAACAGTCAGGAGTTTAAGATAAGTGTACTTAGGGAGCCATGGTCTTCAGAGATTCTTAAGCACAATGTAATAAGGTCTTGATGAAACGTGTAATTCAATAAGTTTTACTGGTCAGGTGACTTGAATATAAGCCTTTGATAAAACATTGGCCTAATCCCTTCAGTAGATTTATCATCCCTATATGAATAGGATGAAAACCATTTTTTTGTTAGCTCCGTCTGGTTTACTGTATGGGTCGTGTTTTATTTACAATTTGTTTCTTGTTATTTCATTAACCTATTTATAAAACCTCGTTTAACTAAATAAAAATCGTGCTAATATTATAAATGTGAAAACTTGTGTGTTTGTTTGTTTGAAGTTCAATCACTCATTATCTACTGGTCGAATTGGGCTGAAATTTTATGATAGTTCATATTCCCGATTAACATAGCCTATCCTTATCTCAAAATCCTTTCTGGCTCCGCCCCAGCGGCTTTGGAATTTCCCATGTTAACCTTATGTAATTCATATTTAAAAGGATTTAACAAATGTTGACGACTGCTTCAACTAGACAAGTTGGTTCTATGATATCCAATAGAATTAAAATGTTATAAGGCTTACCAACAGGGTGCAGCACTACTAGGGCCTATTTTTTTGCATTTATGACGACAGCTAGTTTGAACTAGCAGCAACAAGTAATATACAAGGAGAACTGTCAAAATAGGATTGTTTACAGTTATGTTTATGTTTAAATTTAATAGTTGGTGGCAATCATTCAACAGAGATACTTCGATACTTGGTGTGTGTTTGAAAATGATGCAATGGAATACTGAATACCAAGCAACAATAAATTATAGATAATACAAATTATTAAAAAATATCAAATGGACAGAGAGCACAAAACATACATACATTGCAGAGCATTAAAACGGAAAGATGAGCCTGCTGGAATGTGTTGTTCTGGTGGAAAAGTTTATTTAGGCCTACCTGTATTATAAGAGCCGATACAGCTATGAAAAAACTTTACTTGGAGAAGCTGAAGAGTCGCGGCATTTCCATTTTCAATATTTTATGTTGTACGATTTTTAGTCGAAAACTAAAAAAATGGTTTTCATTTAGGTTAAACTGTGCAATAATAGTCCAGTCAATGAATGATCCAAAAGTAGGTGTAGAGTGCGTGAGCAGGTAACTAAGCGATTCCTTCAGAAACTTGTTCAGGGGGCTTAGGGTGTTAACATACCAAAAGTCCTGACTCCTAGGTGGTGAGCCAGGGGGTGGAGGGGGTGAAAAGGGGGGGGAAAAAGGTACACATTTTGGGTTTTTTGATTATATCTCGAAAACTATCAACTTTTTGTATACTATAGTAAATTATAAAATTGAAGAAGATTAAATTTTCTACAAGAAAAGTATATAATGTGTTTATTTTGGTTCAACAGATTACGAGTTATAACCTATTTAATTGATATCTTATTAAAATACTCCTTCCATAAGAAATACATGTAAATTAGTATGCGAAATGGGGCGAATCCTATCCGCCCAAAGGAAATATAACTGATATTCTGGAAATCTTGACCAAATTTCCAGTAATTTGACACTTAAATCATGAAATTTTGTCAAAAATTAAAGCGAGGGAGAGCATTTAAAAATGGGATGATTTAAGGTTTTTTTTTATATTTCCAATAAAAAAACACCAAAACTCGACATTTTGTTACCTCGCCCTCGCCTTAATTTTGGATCAATTTTAATGATTAAAGTGTCAAATTACTGGAAATTTTGTCAAGATTTCCAGAATATCATTTATATTTCCTTTGGGCGGATAGGATTCGCCCCATTTCGCATACTAATTTACATGTATTTCTTATGGAAGGAGTATTTTAATAAGATATCAATTAAATAGGTTATAACTCGTAATCTGTTGAACCAAAATAAACACATTATATACTTTTCTTGTAGAAAATTTAATCTTCTTCAATTTTATAATTTACTATAGTATACAAAAAGTTGATAGTTTTCGAGATATAATCAAAAAACCCAAAATGCGTACCTTTCCCCCCCCCCTTTTTCCCCCCTCCACCCCCTGGCTCACCACCTAGGAGTCAGGACTTTTGGTATGTTAACACCCTAAGCCCCCTGAACAAGTTTCTGAAGGAATGGCTTAGTTACCTGCTCACGCACTCTACACCTCATTCCTTGACTGGACTATAAATAAATAAATAAATAGTCAATGGTTATAGTCTATGATGTAAGCAAGGAGTGCATAACTGTTGTAGTCCGTTTTTTAAGTTTTCAGACAAATCGAACCATATTTTGCAGTGCACTAGTATTGGTAGTGCTCGATTTGTAAAAATTGAGGTTCCGGAACTGTAACCTATGTGATTAGTATCTATTTATGCCAATCATTTTATCTTTTCCAAATAGAGGTACCGGAACTCCGTTCCGCTGCGTCCCCCCTCAAATTGAGCACTGGGCTGGTCTTTACCGTACAACTTATATAACTATATAGTTGTTATGTTGTCGTGGCAATGTGGTGAGCTTCCCTTAGGCCCATCCCTTGCTGGCAATCGAGTCAAGTTCACAGTAGAACCAGCTTAATTAAAACAATAAAAAACTCACTCTTTCCCGAGGTGCTACAACCCAACCTAGACTTTGACCTCCACGATTACTAGAACAGACCCAACAGACCCAGTATGGATCATAAACATAAATTATGTTACTGGCTCTAAAGTACACAATATTTAATGTTGATTAAATGCAACTGTTTAAACCATGTTGTAATGCAATTAGTATATGATTCGGGCCAGTTACGTCATTCAGTCATGTTTATGATCCATTTTCTAATATTCTTGCCTTCTGACAATTTAATCCATAGCAGTTTTCTATCCATCTTTAAACATTTTATTTCTCCAGGTTAGAACATCTTGTTTTCACCTTATTCTAGCCTCTCAATTGTCTTCATTTCATTGATTTTACTTTGTTGTGGCGTCTATCTTAAACGAGTATTTTAACAAACGTAAAGAAACATTTAATTTTTGAACTAGTTACCTTAAGCCTTTGTCCTTGCAGGATGAAGTTATAGATGAGTGAACGAAGTGAACAAATCTATGTATCGTGTATTAGCGGAGTCGGAGAAAAGTTGTCCGCTTGTCCATCTGTGTGTTCGCACCAAAAACTCAAGAACCGTCGCACATAAAGCGTTCAAATTTTGCACAAATAATTATGACACCAGTGGGAAGACCTCAAGATTCTAGACGATTCCGATCAGTAGTAATTATAAAACCCTTAAAAAACATTTTTAAATTTGTCCCATAAGAATAACATTAGGAGCTACTTTCTTCTTCTTTTTATTTGTTTACGTTTTACAACCAACAATTTTGTTGTCTACTTAAGATAGAGAGAACGACCCACCGACCTTTACTCTAAGCTCTTTCATTCATGGAGTAAACAGTTTGGCGTCTATGAATATATATAATTATAATTTCACAGCTTTCAGAATCATGTTATTTAAGTTAGTTAACGACTTTTATGGTCGTGGTTCTTCATTTGACTATCGTAGCTTACGTCAGTTATTAGCATCTGCAATAAATAACAACAGACAACACAACAAAACGTTAATCGTAAAATACTCTGTTTCTGATTTAAACTTCCCAAAATAATTGGTTTACACTAATATTTTTTTTCAAGTACAATGTATGTTTTTGTTTTGTTTAAACATCTTTCGATCTTTCATTCGTCACCAGCTGCTTGAGTGTGACTGACAGTGACAATGACAATCCGGAATCCGAGTCCATAACACTAATTTACTACCAACAACAGTGGGGTTAATTGGTAGCAGTAAGAACAATGGAAAGCAAACAGAAGAGGCTTTATAAGGTTGTTCTGACCGGAGGTCCTTGCGGTGGAAAAACAACTGGCCAATCAAGGTTGTGCACGTTCTTTGAGAACTTAGGATGGAAAGTGTTTCGAGTGCCGGAGACTGCCACAGTGCTGCTCAGTGGTGGAATAAAATTCTCAGACCTGTCAGAGGAAGAAGGTTACAAGTTTCAAGAGAACCTCCTCAAGACAATGTTACAGATAGAGAACACATTCTTTGAGCTGGGAGAGAGCTGCAACAGAGATTGTCTTATAATATGTGACCGAGGGGCCATGGACGCATCTGCATTCATTTCTCGAGACAAGTGGGAGCGTATGATGTCAGCCAATGGTTGGAACTCTGTAGAGCTCAGAGACAACCGGTACGACCAGATTGTACATCTAGTGTCCGCTGCCAACGGAGCAGAGGACTTCTACAGCACTGAGGACCACGCGTGTCGAAGTGAAGGAGTGGTCCTGGCTCGGGAGCTGGACTACAATGCTGCGGCTGCTTGGGTCGGTCATCCGTACTTCGATGTCATTGACAACTCCACAGACTTTGAGACCAAGATCTGCAGGATGATCGCAAGCGTTTGCCAGAAGCTAGGCATTGACACTGGAGACCGCCTCACGACCAACTCTCGCAAACGCAAGTTCCTTGTCCGAGGTCCGCTGCCAGACGACTCTATATTCCCACCGTTCCAAGACTTCGACGTAGTCCACAATTACCTTCAGACGTCAACCCCCAACATGCAGGTGCGACTCCGGAAACGTGGTCAGAAAGACAGTACTGGGTTGGCAGGCCACTGGTCCTACATCCACACCATACGCAAGCCCAAGCTGCGAGGCCAAGTAGTTGAGGTCAAGACGCAGCTCACACACCGAGACTACATCAACATGTTGGCGCAGAGGGACGACTCCCACTTCACCATCTTCAAGCGACGCCGCTGTTTTCTTGATAACAACCAGTATTTCCAATTAGACATCTACAGAGAACCTTGCCATCCTAGGTGTAAGGGTCTGATCCTGCTAGAGACATACTCTGCACTAGACAACGGAGCGTTGGAGAAGTGTCTGCCCAAGTTCCTGTCTCTTGTAGAGGAGGTGACTGGCAACCCAGCATACTCCATGTTTAACCTCTCACTCCGCGAAGACTGGGACACCACCACCAAGTTCTGCAGAGGTTTCCAAGGTATCCACAGGGACGTGTGTAAGAACTGACGTTAGAAGTGAACAACTGTTAACCAGGTGATGAAAAGGAGAAAATCAAGATAAACAACAATGAGAGCAGTGCTCCTTTAGCAAGTCATGTAAATGTAAAATCCTCAGAGTCAACAGTCAATGGAGGACTCTAACCTGGTACTTAGAGCTGTGACTGAACCTTATCTACTTAATAAAAGAAAAGATGTTAGTTAAATATTCTAGTTCTTGCCACTGGGAAAATACATAAAATAATCTTAAAGAAACATGAGAAACATGTTGTGACCCCTCATTTTAAAAGGTCTTTTTAAAAGACAACGTTTGGTGTGATATATAAAATTTTTTTAAGAACAACCAGTAAATACATGATTAAAAATATGGATATGGAACAAAAATCTAACACTATCTGTTGCAGATACGAAATGTAATCACTTTTAAAAGCGTTTATACTGCCATTATGTCCAGGATGGTCGCAAAACATTTCAATCGCACTAAACATTTTATTTTAACGAGAATTTTAAAATGATGGGTCACGACATGATTCTTTACGTTTGAAAATTTTGAGTTGCCCCATATCTACTTTAAAAGGGGGAGGGGATAAAATAATTCTGGTTTCCTGCTAAAAGCTAGAAAAGTCATCATACAATGATGTTGAAGTAGCAAAATTTTATCTTATGCCATTTAACTTGGTTTTGGGTGTGTTAAGACTTTTCATCACCTTGTATATAAAATACAAAGTATGTCTGCATGTATGTTTGTTTGCCCTGTATGTAATGCCAAACCATTCATCCGACCACCATGAAACTTTAGGAAGTTGCCATGTGTCCAGAGGTGTTTGGTATGTTAAAGTAAATAAGGGAACAGGTGATTTTCGGCCCTAGGGCCGTAAAAACCTGTTCGGCCCCTAAATGACAATGACAGCTGACATTTCGGACCTGGACACCAATTCGTAGATTTCAGCCTCTAATAAGTGTTTGTGTGATACTACAAAATATCCTAGTGTGGAGAAAAATAAATTACTTCGCTTCAAATCTACATACACGAATGTGCAAAATGCAACAAAAAGTACCCATCGTAAACACATTTTTGTCACATGTATACACATATATAAAGGAAGAACACCTTCACATCCTATGGAGCTAGTTCTAGCTCGGAACTGTTTTACACATTACTTCAGACTAGTCCTAGAGGGTTGTGGTTGCGGCATTATCACATAGATACAAATCCTTGAACCCGGGACTTCGGGCACCGAAGCTCTGCACTCACACTAAACCAGCTCCACCCCCATTGCAACACATTAGGAACAGGGGTATATGTAAAACGCAAGTAGGAAAATAATTTATATTACACTAACAGAAAGATCACAGTCATTTGCAATAAATAAGTAATAAATTAAGTTGGTGCCGAGGAAGTTATTCAGGTATGAAGAGCGAGTTGAACGGTGTTGTTTTAAGAACTTTGTTTCCGATGTCTTCCACAAGCATAGAGACCACTGCTTCCACCGCCGGCTTGATTTCGTCAATAAGGTCGTGGGCATTTTCATTGACAAAGTCGTTTGTTGCTTTGCCTGGAATCATAAAGTGTGAAATTAGACAGTGTAAATCAAGAAAAAACATACAAAATAAAGTTGCTTAATTTAATAGTTATAGCGCATTGGAAGGGAAAGTTTTGCAAATATTTTCATTTATTGAAGCGTATTTGGTTAAATATGTTTGAAGAAAGTATTGGTCTATAAATAGGAAGTAAATAAAATCACATGCCCTGTGCAAAGTCTTGCGTTGAGATTTCGGAACGATTAAAATTTTATACTATGGTTCCTTTTCAAATTTTTTTTTCTATTTGAAATGAATTTTTTTTTTTTAATTCGATCTTTTAAAAACACTCAAAACGGTTTTTATTTATTAACAAAATCAATAGAATGATTTTATTCGAACAATTGTATATTTATCATAAATTTTTAACTGTCAAAATGTCATTAGATTTGAATCTTAAAGTGCTTTAAATTAGATTTTGTATGGTTTTGATTTTGTGGTTCTTTTGTTATATAATTTGACTTTGAAGATTCAAGATGGCTACTATTTTAAAAAGTATTGTGTTTGGTATTAAATATGTTTGGAAACTTCATAAACAAATATCTTAAAGCTTCTAAAAAGTTTGACCAAGATATCACCAGGGGAATTTGAGTAAATTATACTCGATTGCAATTTGGCGGATTACAGCTAAGCCGGAACATAAAAAAGGTTTGGTACTTTGGTATTATACCGACCACACCGATTAATCGACTTCCTCACAAGATTTTAATTAGTTTTAACCACAAAATCTTCCGAACATAACCTAACCTAAAACATAGTCCACCCTTATGTTAGGTTATAATTAGGTGTAGTCGGTATAATACCAAAGTACCAATGGTTTTTTTGACTTTATCGTCATATTTTGGTTTGAAAAGTCAGGTTCTGCACAGCAGGCTATGTATTTATGTAACACTGTGTGTATAGACTTACTGAGGGTCTTGTCACCGTTGAAAAGGTTCTCGAAGTTAGCCGTAGCTTTGCCGACGTTCAGTCTGCTCTTGACCATCTTGATGTGGAGGTAGTCCTCACCCTTGCGCTTCTTGAGGTTGGCAGCAATCATTACATCAGCTTGAACATTGGCTGCAACACAATAGAACATCATCATCTGTGTACAGTAACTGAAAAGTTAGATGTGTGTGATGAAAATCAACAATAGCAACTATTACATTTCGTTAGTTCCTATAAAAAGAAAATGTTCTTTGGACTGAAATATTAGAATTATACACAATAAAGTGTACAGTAGGATTTACGATGGTAACTCGACCATGCAGCAATAATTTTAATTTTAGCGCTTTTCACCTATAGAGAAGAAGCTGTTGCCGTGTGTGCTGTTGGAAGGGAAAGACTTAAATCTGAGACCAATATACTTTTTCGTTTTGATGTTCCCAGATGTCAAAAACACAATTCGATGAAATTTGCACACTAGTATATATATATCTGCAATTTTGCTCTTAGGTGCCATAAACTTCTTATATCCTTTTTCATAATAATTCTCTGAACTCAGACCAAGATTCGATGACCTACAAATATTCCGTGTAAGGAGTAAAGGAATCTCATCCACACTTTCTTTAAAATTTTACCTCTAAATATAAACTGTGTGCATGCTCAACGGCTAACTGTTCGCTAGTGACACTCTGACCTGACGTGACTTGTCTTCAACCTTGACCACGTGACAGCTGATAACGATTGCACATCGTTGATTACAGGACAAGACGTTCCCACGAGCTCAGACACGCCATTCTAATATTCTCAATCTCACACAGTTGCGAATGTCAGGTATGAGTAATTATCACTTCGTATTACAACGATAGTCTATAGAATTACATCCTCGGTTACTTGATCTAACAATATGATTTCAAATTGTAATTCTGTTTGGCCCAAGCTTGACTAATAGAGGTCGAGAGAAAAGGTTTGAGGTTTTCTACAGCATTACCACACCCAATTCCCCTCCGTTTACCCTTATCGAAGTAATTTGGTAATTGATCAACTTTACTTGTTTAAGCAAACTCTCGAAAGGTCTTCTCGCTCTTAACTCCATACATGTGCATAGTACATATATGTCCTTGAATATGAATTTACCTAAAATAAGCATAACAGATTTTATGGATACAGTTTTAGTATAAATTATGTTAAATCATGCCCTGATTAATGCATCCACTTAGATGAAATTATCACAATCAGATGGCGTTTTAACGTCAAATAATTTAATAATGATGATGTTTAGTAGTAAATCTGTCCTGGTGGTTACCAGTGGTTACTCTGTTACTCACTTAGGTTGGCCCGGAAGATCCCGTTGCCTTGTATGGGTACGACCAGCGCTCTTCCCTTGATGGTGTAGTCAGACAGAAGCATGATGTTGGGGATCTCTATCCTGGCGGCTGCCATCAACTTATTTGCATTCAGGCTGTGAAACAACAATATTAAATGAAGATAAATAAATCTATCGATATCCAAAACAATTTTAAATTGATCTTGAATCTGGAGAATAAATTAAGATATGATTTGTTCAACGTTGGTGTAAACAAAACTAAATTTCTAACAGAAAAAGGTAAAAGTGTTTGCCATAATTATAAGTACACACATCTCAATTGAATTTAAATAATTTATGCTTTTTACAAACATGATATTTTGTAAGTTTCTAGGAAAAGAACTAGTTTCTCTTTAAACGTCATTACGTTTTGCAACAAACTTTAAAAACCAAAATTTTATCTCCATATCCCAGACCTATCAGTCATAAAATGGCTGGGTTTTTTGAAAGTTTATTAGGAGTTATCAAAAAGACGGATTCATCCTAGGATTTCCTCAAGAATTACAGGGGTTAGAACCGTTTTCCCTTAAAGGTTCTTCAATTACTTTCATACAAAATGGCATTGATAACATCGAAATTAACAAACAACCAAAAAAGGGCTCAATGATGGTGGCAAGTTATTTGAAGGTTAGGTTTCATGATAGTTAATTTATCTAAAGCAACAGAATTATAAAGTTTCGAAACGAAAATCTTCACACATTTTGTATGAATACCGTTCTTTTATTATAAATATGAGCAAATGCTTTACTATTCTCAAGAGTTTCTATATGTGTGTTGGTGGAAGGAAACTGTCGTCTCTAGTTATCCTTGGATAGAAGAATCTTGATGACTTTTTCCATAAATACCTACTATTTCTATATCCCTGTTGTATTGTCTTGAGTAGTGAATAACAAATGTATCCGCAAGTAAGGACAATAGAATATACAACTTAACCATTGACAAGTTACAACAATGAGCTATGTATTGACAGTTATTGGTGGCTTCCCACACAGAACTGACTCACCAGTTGTGGGTTGGAGAATGAAGATGTCACAATGTAAGTAAACGGACAAAGTAATAACTAAATCACTACTTCACTTAAGCGATATTTTTACATACCCAGTTTGTAAACATACTTTCAGCTAAATGAGAAATTTAGGACCAGTATAATTTTTAAAACTTTTGGAAATTAGTACACGACTGAGGCATCCAATATCAAAAAAGCTAGCTTAGCAAAACGTCAATTTTTAACACTTGGTTGAAATATCTTAGTTGGAGGATAAGTGGGGGTGGTTACAATGTATTTGGTAGTTTCATTTAAACAAAATATTTCT